ATTTCATATATATATATATGTAATCAAAAAAATTTTATTATTTATGACGTCAGTGATACGGCATTTTTATTTTTACCATGACGTAAATTTTTATAAAAAAAAAAAAATTATGTTTACGTCATCAACCGATTCCGGCCAGATTCGAACTGGCGATCTTCTTTGCTTTGCAAGCAGACGTGTTAACCACTACACCACGGAATCTACATAAAAATCTTCCCGAATAAATTTCCCATATATTTATAATTAAATAAAATTACGTCATTCATGGAAAAAAATGGGTAAAAACGATGATGACGACAACAACCTTTAAAGGGCGTCAAAATGAAATATTATAAAAACAAAACGATTTTTTTTTTATTCAAGGATAGAAAAAAAATTTTGGAAAGGGAATAGAAGGAGGAGGAGGAGGAGAGGGTAAAAAGCGGGAACACAATAAAAATAACATTTATTATTATTGGGGGAAACCATAAAAAAAAATTCGTGAGAAAAAACAATTTTATAAAAATTGATTCGATTTTTGATTTTTTGATTTTCAATCGTACAAAAAAAAAAAAAAATTTTAACGGAATTGAATTTGTAATTTACGGTAAATAAATTTTACAATCTCTCGCACGAAATCCTTTTTTCTTATTCGTCTCCCCTCCCCTCCCCCATCACCTCTTTCCCCACGTTAATGATACGTAAACATTTTTTTCATGGTGGAGGTGAAAGAAAAAAATGAAAATTATTTTTATGTGACGTCAAAATTATGACGTAAAATTTAACAAATGAAATTTACAAATAAAAAAACTAATGGATTTTTATTTTTACAATAGTGGAAGAAGAAATAAAAGAGAGAGAGAAAGAGAGAGAGAAAGAGAGAGAGAAAGAGAGAGAGAAAGAGAGAGAGAGAGAGAAATTGGGGGGACAAAAATAAAATGAATAACAAAAACAAATTTTTCTACCGCACATCTTTTATCATTATTATCAACGAATTAACATTAAAATGATTTTAAAACATTATTTGGAAAAAAGGGTAAAAAACGGGGGGAGGGGAGGGAGGAAAAAAAAGTAAAACGATCATCATTATCAAAAAAAAAAATTTTAAATTAACAAAATACATTAAATTGTTTTATTTGATCGTTCGACCAACCGAACAACCGACAGACCCGTCAATCGACCGACCGACATTTTTTTTTTTAACCCGAGGGCAAATATAAAGTCATAGAGTAAAAAAAAAAACTAATTAAAATGAATTGAAATTGAATATATTCGGTTTTAAATTTCCTATCTCGGAAAAACCAAAACGACCTCAAATTAAATATAAGAACCATCAATCCTTTTCCGGACTAACCTGGAAAATAAATTTTATCAAACGTGTAAGCAGATAATTGACCGATATTAATTATAAAACGTTAAAAATCCCCTCTTTCCCCCTCCCACCGCCTTGTTTTATTTTTTTTAACGAAAAAAAAAAAAAAAATTTATTTATATAATGATGATGATGATGAAATGGAAAACTTTAAAAACATGGAAAACTGATTTTTTCAATTTTTTTCTCAACGAATGAAAGAAAAAAAAAAAAAACGATGATGATGATGATGATGATGATGATGATATGAAATTGATTTTCCAAAAACAATTTTTAAAAGCTGATTGCCGTTTTTTTTTCTCTCTCTCTCTCTCTCTTTTTCTACTGACACGTAACAAAAAAACTTTTTGATTCGAATTCCGGTGTAAAAAATAAAAAAGTTTTTAATTTCCGTAATATATTTAAAGAAAATAAACTGGAATTTTTTGGGATTTTTTTTCGGGGGGGTTTGGGGGGGCTGAGGGCAGGTAGTAGGAAAGGAATGAAATGATAAGAATTGTTTGGGGGGTGGAAAGGGAAGGGAAACAGCTTGATATTTTTTATCATATACAATATTATAAATTTATCGAATGAAATTATAAATAATAATAAAATTTTGTATTGTATTCAATCAATCAATCATTCATTCATTCATTCATTCTTCTTTTCCGTAAGATACAAACGGGTCGTAATAATAATAATAAATCAAGAAGTGCATTGTTAGAATACAAGAAAATATAAATGTTAAAAATTAAAATTATAAATAAATAAAAATTACAAAACGCATCTAACCTAACGTTTGCGTGAATTATTATTATCATCATTATCATCATCATAATCGTAATAATAATAATAATAATAATAATAATAATAATAATAATAATAATAATAATAATAATAATAATAATAATCAACGTTATTTTTTTTTTTTTTAGCTTTCGATAATTTATTTTAGATTGAAAATAAATTTATTGTTAGATTTTGAATTAACCTTTTCCTGCTTCTTCATCTTTTTTTTTTCTTTGACACAATAATAATAATAATAGTAATAATAATAATAATAATAATAATAATAATAATAATGATGATGATGATGATGATGATGATGATGATAACAGTAAAAGAATTAGAAAATTTTTATATATTTTTTTAATGTGATGAAATGTATTGATAAGAAAAAAACAAAATTATAATAATAAAAAGGGAAGCATTAGGAAGAGAAGAGGGAAAGGGAGGGAGGGGTAGGAGGGAGATGGGGAGGGATTGATAAGGTGGAGTTTATATTGATAAATGAAAGGGATGAACGTGAGGAAAAGTCAAAAAAAAAAAAAAAAATTGTTTTTAATATTTCTGGATCGAATTTAATTTCAAAAATTAATTTTTTTTTCTCTTTCTTCCTCCTGCTTCTCCTTTCATTCCCTTCTTTTCTTTAACATTTCACTTTTAACCTTTTGCCCTTACGTTCACCTTTGATTTTTTTGAAATTCAATAAAAATAAATAAATTTTTTAGTTAGGTATCAAATGTATTTATATATATATATATATATATATATATATATATATATATTTTTTTTTTTTTTATTAAAATTCCAGTTTTCCAGTTTCCCCCTTCCTTTTTCCCTCCCTCTCTTTTTCTCTTCTCTCCCCTCCCCTTTCCCTCCCCCTTCATTCGATCGTTCACCGTAAATTCAGGTACGATATAATTTATATGGATATCAAACGAAAAATTATTTTTTAAAACACTTTGGCAAAAATGAAAAAATTGTTTATTTATTTTATTTTTTTTTCCTCCATTTTAAAAATTAAATTTTTATTAACATCTAAACATACATAAATACATACATAGATACATAAAAAAAAAATGTTTTTTTATAGTTATATAGCGAGCGCATCATTTATTTATGTCGCGTGAGGAAACGCCTATAAAAAATTTTTTTTTTTTTTTTTTTGACTATAATTAAGGCTAATGAAAAAAAGAAAAATTTTTTTTTACAACCCCCTCCCCCTCCCCCTCTGAAAATAAACGTTGGACATTTTTTTTTTAAAACCGAAAAACGTTCTGCTATGTTGACACGCATTGCGGTTGTTGCTACAATGAATTGTTTAAAAAAAAATAATAATGATAATAAGAAAGACAAAAAAAAATATAGGGAGGAAAAAGAAGAAAGAAAGAAAGGAAGGAAAAAAAAATGGCGGATATAAAAACAGACCGAAATATTAATAGGCCGTAACGGGAAAAAGGGTAAAATAAAATTTATTAATATGAGGTTATGTAAATAACCATACATATATATGGATCATTAATACAATTTTTTTTTTTTTCATTCGTTACGAAAAAAGTTAATAAATAATAATACTTATAAAATTTCTTTTAAAAAAAAGAAAAGAAAATTTTAGAAATCATAAAATTAATAATTAATTAATAAATTAATTAATTAATTAAAATTTATTAAATTGAAAAAGTTTTTAAGTTTTTTTTCCCTGTTTGTTTTTGTTGTTTTTTATTTTTTTTTTCACTTTTTATTCGTATCGAAATAAATAAATAAATAAATAAAAAGAAAAATATAAATAAAAAAAAATTTAATCAAAAGAAATCGGGAGAGAGGGGAGGAAGAGTGGGAGGGAATGATTGAATGAATGAATGAATGAATGGATGAATGAATACAAAGATAAAAAAAATTTTTTTAAAGATTTTTTTTTTTGTTAAAAAATTAAGAAAAAAAAATTGGATTTTATTTAATCGTATCGTAATCATCATCATCATCATTATCATCATCGTATTCGTAGTCGTTATCATTATCATTATCAATATCGGTTATTCATTGGAAAAAAAAAAAGAAAAAAATTATTGGTTGATTTTTTTGTATTTGTTTTTATGTTAAACTCTTGTTGCTGTTTTTAATGCGAAACTTATTTTTTTTTTTCCTTTTATAATGAGTTTGAAATAAAAAATTTTTTTCAAAAGAAATTGACGTCATCATTTTATGACGTAATAAAATTACAAAATTAATGGTAATAATATATATAACATTTTTTCATAGTTTTTTTTTTTTTTTTGTTTACACTTATTTATTTATTATATATATTATAAATATTATTATCATCACCGTCACCACCACCACCATCATCATCATCATCATCATCGTCATCACCGCCACCATCATTATTATTATTATTATCATCGTTTCATTTTAATATCTTTACAACATTCGATTTTGATGAAAACCTCATGAGAAAGAATCAAATATTCGAATTCGTAAACGGTATTCGCGTTTGTGTGTGTGTGGGTTCGTGCGCGTTCCCGCATATTTCTCAATTGCCTTTCACGCGTCGTCTGCTAGTTTAATAATAATATATTACGTGAAAGAATTTTTTCGAATAAAGGGCAAAATAAATTTTTATGTAAATGAAAACCTACCTACGTACTTACGTATGTTATGTAAAATTCAAAAGATTTTAAGTATTAAATTTTATCATCATCATTATTATTATTATTATTATTAGATGTTAAATAAGAAGATTTGATTTGATACGTTTAACTTGTTGAACCGAAGGATAGAAAAGAAAATTTTTATTTATTTATTTATTATTATTATTATTATTAATAAAAGTTAAAGTTGAAAGATGGAAAAAAAAAAAAATTTTTTTTTTTTAAGGGCTCGAATTTCATTTTTCAAATATGAATTAAATCAAAGGTTTCCTTTTTTTCCTTCCTTTTTTGACCCCCTCCTGCTCCCCCGTCCCTTCTCCTCACTCCCCTTCCTTATCATACCGCCGCCGCCATTTTTCTTTTTTTTTTTTCTTCTTTTTCTTTTCATAACTTTTCATAACTTGAATGTACTTTCGAATTCGTATATATTGGAAATTTTT